CTTTTGTGTTTCCCTGCCCTTTGCCGTTTCGTCAGAAACAAAACAGGGATAAGATTTATCTTCTTTATTCTGGTTTTCTTCAAACTTTTTCATCAATACATCAAATTTCTTGATCCTCTGCATCAGCGTGTTTGCTGATGTAATTACATTCTCACTACGTGCCTTAGGCTTATTGTCTCTGGCCGGAAGTGGCCGGTTTTTGATAAGTTTCTCATTGTCAGTTTTCCTTGTCTTGGCCAGGTTCATTTTCTGCTCTGTTTTTCTTTGTTTGTTCTTGTTGCGTTCTATTTTCCTGTAATGGAAACGTTTTAATGCACCAATCAGCTTTTGTTCGGTGTCCTTTCTGATGTGGTTTATGTCCCGCTTGAAGTCTTCGTCTGGCATGATGTTTGCTCGAATGTTATATTGTAATGATTTTGGACATGTTTTCTTTTCAGTGTGCGCCTTTAACTTCTGGGTAGAATCTTCAGATTTTTTGATTTTCTTCTTCAAGGCTATGATGCTGTCGTCATATCTTGTTCTTTTGCTGGTGACTTTAGGGCTGTACATCTCTGAGAGGCGTTTTGCGGGTTGGCGGTCGTTGGCCACTCTCCAGCTCGTCTTCACTGTACAACAGCTCTTCCTCATTTACGGCATTAATTTCGTTTGCGAGTGCTAGGATGATGAATTGCTCTAACATGCGCGTGATACGTAAGTTGCAATTTCAAAACGTAAAAATAATTGCTTAGAGTGGGGACAGGAGAATTGCGTGNTTCGGCGTCCTTTCTGATGTGGTTTATGTCCTGCTTGAAGTCTTCGTCCTGCACAATGTTTGCTCGAACGTTGTATCGTAATGATTTTGGACATGTTTTCTTTTCAGTGTGCGCCTTAAGCTTCTGGATAGAATCTTCAGATTTTTCAATTTTCTTCTTCAAGGCTATGGTGCTGTCATCATATCTTGTTCTTTTGCTGGTGACTTTAGGGCTGTACATCTCTGAGGGGCGTTTGCGGGTTGGCGGTCGTTGGCCACTCTCCAGCTCGTCTTCACTGTACAACAGCTCTTCCTCGTTTACAGCGTTAATTTCGTTTGCGAGTGCTAGCGACGATGAATTGCTCTAACATGCGTGTGATACATAAGTTGCAATTTCAAAACGTAAAAATAATTGCTTAGAGTGGGGACAGGAGAATTACGTGTGTAAACAGGGTTTGAAACAAGAGGAGGAGTATAGGTGGGAAGATGAAATTTTTTACTGATTAATATACTAGAAAAAAATTTCTATAATGCTCTCTCGCTTTCCATTTTATATTGTGTGGAATCAGCAATAGACACCTGCAATGACAAAATCTCTTTTTAAGATTAAGAACTAATGTATTCGAAAATATCAAGCAAAAAGTACCGATCTGCATAACAAGATTGTTATAGCAAGACTTGGAAGGTGCGACTTTATCCCCTTCTAATACAATCATTGGGAAATTATAAAGCTAAATACGTTACAAGTTTCCGCCTATTTTAAAAGTAAACTTTTAAAAAGCGAATGCTCTGAGAAAAAGTGGTGAACCATGCATAAGGGCCTTTTGGCTAAAAACCACTCTGGCAACTTTTAAAACTTTGATAGCAATCGAAGTGATGGGAGTTCAGGAACAGTAATGGTGTAATACAGAGCCGGAATGGGTAATAGGTGATCAGAAGATTATGATTTGAAAACATTGAAATTTTTGGGAAAGATACATGATTTTGAAATGTAGAGAAAATGGAAGGACAAGGAGTTTGACCGCATGATATATATGATAACGCCAAAAAGATGTTGTAAGTAACAGCCTGCGAACCAAGTAGCTTACATATCAAAAAAACACAGATCCGAAAACAGTATATTGCTACAGATGATTAGTGAAAATTACAGGGCAAGGGTTTTGCTGTTGGTACATAAATACGTGCGGAAAGAAAAAAAGTGACCAAAACTCAAAGTAAAGAACCAAAAAAAAAAATAAGAGGGTTAGAAGACGTAGCATACAAAATTACAAGCGCATAGTTTAGAGTACAACAATAGAGGTGTAGAGGTGTAGAAACGTAGATGCGTACAGGCGTAGAAACGTAGAGGCGTACAGATGTAGAAACGTAGAAAGGTTGAAGCGTAGAGGCGTACAGGCGTACAGGCGTAGAAGGGTACAAAATTTTAATAAACAGTAGATCAGTGTAAAGAAGTAATTTAAAAGAAAAATGTAGAGACAATAGCGGTAAGGATATATTATAGTAGGAAGAATAAGGGAAGAAAAATTTAAGTTTTAACTAAATATATATTAGGAAACGCGAATTAACCAAAAAAGTATAAAAAAATTGAACTGTAAATTTCAAAGGATGGATGAGATAAACCTCAAAATGGGATTAAATCGTCCGAAAAATAGCAGCACATTATGCGGCAGCATTACGAGGAAAAACTCATACAAGAAAGTGAGAAAGTTGTCGAGAACCCGTTTGGATGTATCATTTTGTACATTGTGGAATAAATTGGCAATAATAATTCATTGGTTGCCAAGGGCAACGCAAACACGCATTAGGAAAAAAGACAAGGGAAAATTAAAAATAGGCCAAGAACATGCCACAAAAGGCTGGCAAAAAAAGAAGGCTAGGGGTGAGCCATAGGCATATAGGCATAGAACTCTACGAAAACTTCTATGCCAAATAGTGTGTCCAAATCTGGCCCACACTTGTATTGGACTGAAGGGTAGAGTACATAGAGTAGAATAGAGACTCTTTTTCGTAGAAAGGAAGGGTCAAGTAGAGTAGAGTAGAGTAAATATCTGTAGCAAAAAAGGAATCAAAGTCTCACAATGCAACACTTTATATGCCATAGTTGAGACTCAGTTCTATTACTGTAATCTACTCAACCCTGCCCTGCCCTGCCCTGCCCTGCCCTGCCCTGCCCTGCCCTATATGGTACTGTTCTACCCCAATGTATATAAATCCGTAGAGAAAAAGTCTGCGCTAAATTTCCAGACTATTTTGTGCCGGGTATAGGATTGGTTGAACCACAATTGCACCTATTGTCCTGTTTTGGAGGTGTCAGCCAGATTACCTGGCGCAAAACAACCTTTCCTTTAATAAAAGAGATATTCTGGTAAGTGGAAAAGTTATGAGGTGCTTGCTGCTCGCCATCTGTATTTTCTATAATGCTCACTGCTCACAAGACAAATTTGATCACTGCTCCTGCTGGCAAAAATAAAAGCACTGCTTGCATGCTCACAAATGCTGGCAAAGACCATTCCATACCCCTAATTGTGTTTCTAATCATTTCAATCTCTATATTTTTTTGTAGGAGTTTGTGAATAGTCAAATAAGCCCTAACACATATTACTCTGGCTATAAGTATGTGCCAAAGCTACCATCAAAGTAAGTGAATCTTGTCCAAGTCAAAGTTTTTGTCATTTTATGACTCCAAGTTTCACTGGCAAATCAGAAGGAAAATGACTGAGATTGAGCATGTGCATGGCAGTGTGAAAGATTATTTTTTCCACCTAAAGCTGCTATGGAGCTCCCCTGAAATGTACTATCTGTTTATTAGGTCAAACTACCTCAATTTCTCAAGTTTTTCAAAAATTGCCTGGCATTGTGTACCAGTTAATGGGGAAGCAATCAAGAAGTATGGGAGTGTACTGAGATCCACTTGCTTGCGTTCTGTATACTAAATGTAAATCATGCTTTTAATTGTGCATAAATTATGAGTACAAAAACAACATGGCATATCCTGTAAACCCCTCCACTTTCTTGTAATTTTATAGAACAGTCTTTCTTTCCTTTTAAAATAAAATGCATCTTTTGGAGTTCCAAATGTGTGGTTCCAGAAAAAGGAAGGAATGACTATGAACCAAAACCAGAATTTCAAGAGGGATAGGAGATTCAAACCAAAAAAACCTTCTGTGGGAGGGGTGTGAATATTTTCTGGAACAACACAGTGGAAAGAAATAACCCAAGAGAATAATCATTAACCAATGAAAAAGAGGATATGGAGAATCTCAAAAGCAATGAATTCAATGTTGTATAAAAGCGTGCTTGGAATGTAAATGAACTACAAATTTGTTGGTTTGTTCAGAATGAAAAAGATATTCAATTTTTTTTCCCACATATAAAGCCTTACCAAGAATGACCTGGAATTTAATATACAATATAAATTCATGAAAAAAGATTGCTTACAGAAAACTGTGCAAAGGTACAAAGTTATATGAATGATGAATTGTTCAATGTTAGATTGTTCATTGCTTTTTAATATAGACATCCGGCGTTCAAGTCCCAAGAGCACAGATTTCCAACGGTCTACTTTAAGCCAGTAAGGGATGCTAGCCAGGCACATTATAATTGTACTTCACTGTCAAAAACACAGTAGACATTATAATAGCAGATTTGCATGTTGTCGTCATTTGACTACAACTACCTGAATTCCTTTCGTTTGTTCTTTGTTATTTAAATTTTGAATTCCCAGTGAGTTTTAAATAACAATTACCCTAATTAGCATAAGAAACGGAAAATGCGAAGGATTCTGGTAGTCGTAGTCAAATGACGCCATCATGCAAATTGCCTATTGCCAGCATACAGTACATCATAAAATATGTGCTAAGACTATTGTAATAAGGGAATCTTAATATTTCTCAAATCAGAACACTTGATTACTCTTTGTGATTTCTTCATTCAGACTGCAAATCACCACCTAATTGATGTTTACTTCCTAGAAACATGTTACAGTACATAATGAGTGATATATAATTTTAATTACATAAATAAGTATCTATTTAGATTTGTAGGTAATCACATGATTTTGAGTGCAAATATAAGTTGTGGCTGCAAAATAGAAATGCTGCAGAATTTCAGTCAAACCTGTTGAGCTGCCTCCCCCAGTTTTCAAAGTCACAAAATTTTTAACAGTAAAAAGAATAGTGTAAATACATGTAATACTGGAAATAGAACCCCTGTTTACCTGTCACCTCTATAGTGGCCTCCTTTTGGCCTTAGGGTGCTCTATTGTCCTCACTCCTGTTAAGCAGCCATCCCCAAATTAATACACATACTTTGTTTTGGAAAAGGGAATGACAGATAAGAGTCCAAAATATAAATTGACCTCTGATAAAGCAATTCAAACACATGTTTATTATTGTCTTCACATGATTCCATGTTGCCTTAAACCATGTAACTTAAATTTGAGTAAAGTAACATTTCTTCTGAACCTTATGCTAATTCCTGATGAAACCCCTATGAAGCAGCCACCTCCCATTTCCCCGGCTGTTTAACAGTTTATAGGGGTTTGTCTTTATACTGTTCTATACAGTAAGTAGTGCCATAGAAGATATTCAGTTGTTTGAATTCACTGCAGCATACATCACTGGCTCATGAATATTTGGAACAATCAGCACCAGGATAACCCAGTGATTCCATCTCCTGCAGGTGGTCTTCAGTGATACTTTTCTGAAGCAAAATAATGAGAATCAACACACTTCTGTTCAGTTTATAAATCTTGGTATGAAAGAACATTAAGATGAAATCCAATAGGAAATGGAGCAATTTCAGGTTCTAGTAGACAAAAATCTGGTACCAGAATAATTTTAAGTATTTTACAGTCATTTTTACATTTTCTTAAAGCTAAATACATAAATAATTACCTGAAATAACATGGAAAGCAGTTTCCTGTGGGAACAAGAGAAAATAACTTTCAAAGTTCAGAGAACTTCTGCAAACACAGGCAAAATTTCATCATCAGTTTCATTTCACCAGTACTTTCAAGTGTTTCATATGAAGTTCAACATTTGTTTTCGACGTTTGGTGTTGCTAGAAATGATTTTTTTGAGAGAATATTTAAAACAGTCGTACAGAAGTTTGCAATAAGATTTAAATAATCTTGGTACTAGATTTTTGTCCCCTTGTTACTCGAACTTCTGGTGGTGAACTTCTGGTGATTTTCTCCAGAACCTAGGCAGGTTCATCAAAGCCCATACATCCATTTTTGTCCATAAACATGAAAAAAAAAAAAGAACTTGGCCAACATCCAACCATCTTGGGCACACACTTGGTTGATATCCATGTACATTTATGAACTATCTTAATAGATTACACATTGCATATGGTAACAAGTTTCTGACAAGTAAACATCAAAGGTTGTGTGGTTTGAACTGACTGGCTGACAAGTTGGCAAAGTGGGGAACATTGGGTGGGGTCAACAACGATAAAGGTAGGAAAACCTTAAGTGAATTAAGATCTGGGTAGGCCTGGTTAAGGCATTTATAAGGGGACAGTCACTTCTAGATCTATTGAACCCAAAGAAATAAATTGATCATTACTGATTACAGCTTCAATTTTTCTTAAATGTACACTTGATTTGAAACCTGCTTAATGTGCTCTTTTCTCCAGAGAGAAGGTCCCCCTCCTGGACAGTACAAACTTTCAAAAGACCCCATTTTACCAAAAGGACCAAATGTTACATCACCATTCAAGTCAAGAACTCCAAGATTTGCACAACCTCATGTCCTGGTACTGTATGTGCTTGTTGATGTTTAGCAAATGCAGTCATGGCTATCACTGTTTTACAATAGTTCTGGCTGTCTTTATCTCCATTTGAGCAAGAATACATGAATGGGTCATTAATCATGCAAGAGACCAAGATCTATTCTTTACGACCAAAACACAGTCAAGGTCCATGATAATGCTAACACGATCAAGGACAACATCCATGTGTCTTGACCAAACAATGCCATAAAAATGGAGTTTAAAAGAACTCACCATTTAAGTGGGATAACATGGGTAATCCTGAGCAGGAAAGAATGCCCCATTTAAATTAACCAGCTTGTTTAACCAATCACATCATAGGGATGATGCTACATGCTGTGACTTCTTGGCTTCAATTTAGTTACATATATTCCTGTGCAGTGCACTACAGTACTCACAGGGAAGGGGGTGGAGGTTGATTAGCCTACAAAGGTACTGTTGGAGGGAGAGAAACACAAAAACGAAAGTAATTTTAAAAATTATTAATAACAATAAGAAGAAACATACAGCAGGTAAACATCACCTCTTTGTGCTGAAAAAATGTGGTTTTGTATAGTGTGATTAATTACCTTACAATAAATGATACATTTCATCTGCTGTTACTGGTACTGAACTTCTCAGATGTAAAGACATTTTGATTATTAACACTGAGGCCTTCAGTTCATCATTTTTGACAGAAGCCGAATATTGTTATGCATGATAATCTACATTGTAGGCTTGCATGTGACCACCTTAGTAACAATATTGCATTCTGAAAGTGAAGAATGATCATCGCAGTAAATTTTCCAATTTAAGCAAATGTGTGGCTTCATAGCTCAGTTGGTAGAGCATTGCACCGGTATCGCGGAGGTCACGGGTTCGAATCCCGTTGAAGCCCTGATTTTTTCATTCTTCTTCTTTCCAATTGCTTAAATTGGAAAATTTACTGCGATGATCATTCTTCACTTTCATCTACAACCGCTGTTCATATATGAATTACTTCATATAAACTTCACAATATTGCATTCTGTTTCCTGTGTTTTGAGAATAATTCACATCCATTAAAAAACATCTAGGGTTATTGGTGATCATTTCTCAGTGTATGGATCCAATGTAGACTGCAAGGTCTCCAGGAAAAGCCATCATTGGAGGCAAATGTTCTGCCTTACTAACAAGTTGTTGGGCCACATTGTATTCCCTTGGCTCAGCCCCCGCAGTCGTCTATTATAATATGTACAAGATGATAGGTGTAAACAACACCCCAGTACAGTTTGAGTTCCTCTTTTTACTCTAATGATCCACTTAGAAAAAAAAAAAAATTCAGAATGAATAAAATAATACGAACTTAAACTTCAATTATGAACTAAAAATACAACAACTGAATATGAGAAACAGCAAACAATGGAAAGGAAAACATGATTACTCACAAGATCTGTATAACACCCTGTAACTGACAATGACTGAATACAAACTAGAAAATTACAATGCTATAAACAGAATTTTGAACAAAAAGAATAGACTTATGAGGTTAAGTGATTAACAGTAAATGGATACATAACATATGACATAAAAAAAAACTAATCTCCAAGTACATTTAAAACTACACGAAAATTTAAGTATGCAAAATGAACTTATAACAAAGACCAAAAAAAAGACAAGGCAACCAACAAAAAACTAGTGAGACAATCTCAGGTAGTGCAGAGTGTAACTTACCGCTCTGATGCAGTAGTCACACAGGTCCTCACCCCTGCTGTTCTTTCCCTAGGTAGTCAACTAGGCCTTTTCCCCTTTGCAGAATATGAGCATTCAAAAACTTGATAAGACATAATCTTAGCCATGTGTATGTGTCATGTTTTTGTTTTGCCCAAAAATAGTTAACAATTACCGTTTGTCAAGACAGTTTTAAATTTATTGTGGTATTTTATCTTGAGTTTCGTTCATTTTGTAGCATCACTTTTCACGCCGTTTGTAATTTGATGCGTTTGTTTTCCTCGTGAATGTATGCAACAAGATACCTTTGTTTCCATGAAAATATAAGATGTGCATTTTTTTAACTTACTGCTGGAGATAAATGGAATATTAAATATCTGCTGAAAAGTCGAAGAGGAACAATTTTGTTTTATTCAAAATGTAAATTTTCATTTCACCGATAAACAAGAACTGATCTAATTATCAAATAGTCACGCCGCATCACAGAATAGTGCGTTCTAATTCTGTTGCCAGCCGAGTTGGTGTGAATAATAAAACCACATCAAACTAATACACAACACTATCGAGTAGTACGACTGAGGAGCGTTTCAACGAGAAGTATTGAAGGTAGAGATCTTTACTGGACCGAAATTATATCCCACATCGGTGAGCAAGTCACCTCATCGACTGATGAAATTAATTGGAGATTTCAGTAAGTGTCACGGTGTCTGCGGCAATAATAACAAAGTTTCTTTTGTCACAAATTTACTAGTTTTACATGTAACCAATGCGGAAAAGTTTCGGCTGAATATGATCTTTGGGCTCTCTTTCAAACAAGCTGCCAAGGAGAAGCAATATGTTCCCATTCTCTATTTCAACCCTGGCAAACACACAATAGTTATAAAACTGCAGATGACATTTCTTGAATTGAGCTAGGGAAGATTCCAGAAGATACGCAGTCACAGTAGCATTCTTTGCACTAAAAAAAGAGAACTGATGTTACCTGAAATATAACTGCTATCCCAGCCAAAACAAGAGTGTGATGTCACTCATTACAAAAATAAAAAAAAAACATGCATCTGAACTCGAGAACAGAGTTTATCACACTAGCAATGCTAGAACACATGTGTCTTATATGTTATGAAATGTATCTCTCACCTAACATATAGTCCACTTTGATGCTAACTAATCTGCGCATGCGTTTGGAGCAAATTGCTTTTGTTCTTGAGAGAATGGCACCACAAGGATAGCATGAGATTTGCAAAATCATATATATATTTTTATCCTCTGATCAAAGAAAGCAACATAAGTATGACACGTTTTGCATAATGCACTCGGGTACCTTCCGCACCCAACCCCCCCTTTCCACAAGGCTAATTGATTAATTGAAATTAATTAATTAAACAAACATTAAAGTTTACACCTCATGGCGTCAGCGACTTAGCGAACAGCAGCCCCCTAAACCATCCCAATAGTGCACTCTGCACTAAAAATTAACTCTTGTGGTTACAATGGGGGATCATTCTTGGGGGGAGTGTTGCATGATGACCCCAAACGATGGCTGCAAAGGAGACTAATTAAAGTTTTAACTTCGTTTTTCTTGTTTTTACAGAAAACCCCTGGTCCTGGAACATATTGTAAAACATATCAGACACCTATGCCGGACACAATCAAGAAAATGGCAAGAAACTATGGGCTTTTTTTTACGTCGGGAACTTACGGAGAATATTATTGATAGAATCTACTTTTTATATGTGGAGAGGAATATTTTGTGAGAAGCATAAGATGTAGTTGTAAAGTAGGATTATGGAGTTGACAAGCAGGAATTACTGTCATGTTATATGTCAAGTAAAAAGGTCACAAGATACTCTTGGCACATGCACAGCAAAAAGTTGTAAATAGGTTTATTTCCATTTTAGAGAGTTTGAATGCAAATAAAACTTTTAAGGAACAATCACAAGACAGTGTAAATATTCACTAATTCAGTAAAGCCCTTTTACCTGACATATTTCTAAAACTCAATAATTAATTTATTTAGCATAGATTTATTTTGACTCTTTATTTCCCTTGTTACTTCATAGCTGTTATAGCTTTCATTGACATGATACACCAAACACAAGAAAGTGTTAATACCATTTCTAAACACCTAGAAGTTCATGAAAAATAAGTTGTACTTCATGCTGTACCCATCTGTAATCACCCATCCATTTCCTGTTGAAAAATGTGATGAAACACTGACTCTTGTGTTTGATAAATCAATTCCATCTAATAATGTTACCTGTACTTGGAATTTCCTAATGGTTATTGGATTACATGAAGTAGAATGTACTAACTTTTAATCAATTGAAAGTGATATTACTGAATCAGCCACTGGTTTGGAAATCAGGTGAGCTGGGTTGAAACAGACAACAATGGAATTTTCCTTGTGAATTTCCCAAGTACTGCATTTAATGTAGCAGTAAAAGGGTATGTATTTAGTTCATCAGTATTTGAAAATCAAACAAACTGAATAGGTGTTCAACTGAATTTGTGCTTGTCTGTGTTCAACTGAATTTGTGTGCATGTCTCTACTCAAAGTGAAGTACTGAGGAGGCCAAAGTCCTGCAAACGTTTTGGAGAAGTTTCCTACACTTGTCTCTTTTTGTTTTCATGAAGTTGACTTGAAGTCTTGTTTTTATTAATGGGCAAATGAAGTCTTGAAATGATTTGTTTGTTTTCATACAGGGCATTTCTCTCATGCACTTCTGAGAAATAAGTCACATTCTAATTATCTCACAAGCTTGGATTCAAACCTATGACTTCCCTAATCTTGTTGGGCACTCTAATGCCTGTGTGGGAGGCACAGTGGCCTCATGGTTAGTGCACTTGTCTCCAGATCGAGTGCTCCAGCTTTAAGTCCTGGGGCCTGTTTCTCGAAGGTCCCAAAAAGTTTTCACACCCTGAAAGCCATAGCAAGATCTCAAACCTTATGATTACAGAGCTGTTTTATTCACATATTCTTAATATGAGCAGAGGTTCCCTTCATACAAGGAGTTTCAGGTGTATAAACCTCTAGGTTTTTAGGTACAGATGATCTAAAAATGGCTTTGTGGGCCCAAAAAGTTTCCTGGGCTTTTCAAGAAATGGGTGCCTGGCCTGGGACATTGTGTTAGTGTTCTTGGGAAAGACATTTTACTTTCACAATGCCCCTCTCCACCCAGGTGTAAATGGGTACTGGCAAACTTAAAACTGGGGGTAACCCTGCTGCAGAGTAGCGACAGGGAGTAGAAACACTCCTAGTTGCTTCATGCTAGGGAAACCAGGATGAGCTCCAGCCTGATGGGGCACTTGGTTCATATGCAGACTTATTCTTTTTTTACTCTAAGGCCTAATTCACACTAGCAACATAACAACATAAGCAACATAATAGCTTATGTTGGTAATGTGAACCAGGCCGTAAGGAAAAGATCAGTTCTTTCCTTAGTTCATGCCATTAAGTTGCTCTTAGTCATTATATGTCAGGATGTTCACACTGCAAACGACAATGACACGACATCCTTCTTACATGTATGCTGCTATGTTTTCATTGTTATATCTCAACTGTGAACCAGGCAACAGTGAGTTGAAGAGAGACTTCTGGGCAAGCTGAGGAATTTACTAAGTTCATATGTGACATGTGCCCAGCTTACTATTGGGTCATGACAATTGAATTGTATTTCACTGACCTTACATTTTGTAAATTTGTAATTTTCCAGGAATAGCTTGACATTTAATAAGCTACAATACATGTAAAATTGGTTAGACCAGAGGTGCAAATATGAACTGCAAATATTAAGTGAAGGACAGCACTAAGCATGTCAATGCAGTGATGACATGAATGGTCATATCACTTGAAAGAAAATTTTATTTCTTTTTAATTTGAAACTCAGACACAAAAAAAGAAATCCTACAAAATCATTCATTTTTTGGTTATCTATTAAAAATCAGTTGCTTACAAAGACTTTTACAGTGCTTATGCTCTTGAGGGTTAACATCATCACACAATACTACGCACATCATTTGGTCATGTAGGTTAGTTCTATAAAATTATCTCTTAGCCCGCCTTCTAGTACACTTGTTTACAACTCAGGAATTTTCTACGATGTTATTTGAAAAGAACAATCTTTCCTTTCTCAAACTTTTTGTAGAGACAATGATTAGTTTCACCTATTTTGTCAAGGGACCAGATAATTTTGGCAACAAGCTTCTCATCTAAGTCTGAGGTTGCAATACTATCATCGAGGTGGTTCAACAGATCCCTAAACACATTGCATCCTAGTAGGGAGGCTCCTCTTAGCTTCTGTAGCTCCTTCCTTTGTTTCTCATCATGCCATACATCCCTTGCAATCTTGTACAGAATATTAACAAGATCAGTCGTGTTTGATAAATGTTTTGAAGTCTCAAAGAAATCAAGAAGTTCTTTCACAGTTTCATGAGACTTGCCCCGTTTTACTTTAACTGGTGGAGCATTGGAAACTGAAGAATCTGTGCACATGTAAACACTGTTATAATGGTTGCCTCCAGCAGGGTGTAAAGGCTTGTTGGTTGTCCCTGATAGGTACCTTAAGATATAGATGTTCATGTTTCCAGGTAACAGTGACAGAACTTTTTGCGTCAAGGGAAGGATGTTTCTTCGAAAACCTTTTCTTGTTGCTAAGAACAGAGTCTGCAAGCTGGGACTTGTTAGCATGTTCAGTTTAAGCATCTTGTGAGAGCTAAGCCTTGGAATAATCTCTGTCAAGTATTTGCCAACAAGTAAACTACTCTGCAAACCAGAGAAAATGACATCAAAATGAAGGAAAAACTGTAGAAACAAAGTTGACTGCCATCATTGTACCGCCTATTCCATAACAAAACTTCTAATCATTCTAAGGCCCTATTCACAAGGAGGTAGGATAACCATAGTGCTAGGGTTACTCAAGGGCTGTCACATGTCTTATTTTTTCATGGACAATGCAGGTAGGGTAACCATCCATAGCCCTAGCTGTGACTTGGGAGATTTAAGGACAGTGCTTACTAAATATGAAGGTTTTTCCGCCAGGTTAGGACCATGCAGAAAAAGTAGATCTTTGCAAGGGCTATTGGGATCCACAAAGAAAACTGGGGTAGCCCCGCATTTTTTTTGAGATAATTAGCCTTGAATCTCAGCAAAAATGCTGACATTCATTTTTCTAAAAAAAAGAAGGAAAGAATATTTCTTCACAGATTTCCTTAGAATTTGCCTTTACATACAGAAAAGCAAACACGTTTATAAAAATCTTAAAACTTCATGGTAAATAGTAACATAAAAACCATTTTTGGTATGTTTTTAATAACAAAATTGTTGCAACAGGGCTTTTGGCGTCTCTGACAGTCTTTCGCATGGCGCTTAAACCATGCCTTGTGTGATGTGCAGAACTTGTGCACACTAACAAAAGAAGACCCTGTCATATAAGGGAAGGGGCCCCAATCTCGTTCCCAGAGTCTTTGTTACCCTTGACCAGCGGTCGGAAAACGAGAGCTCTGGGAGCAACCATTTCAGGCATGCGCCATAGATGCAGACTGCGGTTATTTCAAAATGGTTGCTCCCAGAGCTCTCATTTTCCGACCACTGGTCAAGGGGAACAAAGACTGGGAATGAGATTGAAGGGGCCCTGGAAGCATCCCCCTTCTTTCTGTTTAGATTTTCCTTGAGACACTAATATCAATCAAATTTTTGTAATCAAACATTCAGCGAAGTGATCAGGTCACACCTGAGGAAGAAATTTAGGTTGGCAGCTGGGCTACTGTTCAAATCACTCACGATCTCTCACGCTTTCGCATGACTATACTGTCTCCGGTCGCCCCAGATCTCGCAAAAAAACCTCGCGCATATTTTATTTCAAAATGGCGACCGTTAACAAGTTTTAAAGTGAACTAGACATAGTCAAAACTAGTGAGCGTTTTTACTCAAACACAAAATTCAGGGGTGAACTCAAACTAGAAAATTTATAGTGAGTTTTAATTGAACTTCGTGAGAACTCCGTGAGAACTCGCTATGATGCAAAACTCCCAGGGTATCCAATCGATGGAAACCAATGATCGGAAATTCAGTCGATCAATTGATATCAATCGATAAAATTAGTTAATTGGTATCGGCCAATCGATGACCAATCGATAACCACACAAAAACCGTTCATCGATTGCTATCGATTGGCTCAGCAACCTCGAACAGATGTCACACATGCTCCTGTCATCGATTATCGATTCCATCGATTGGATACCCCGGGGAAACTTGAGCTGCACCGCTCTTCGCTAATCAAGAAATATCAAGCAATTTTTTCGAGTAAATTATTAATAACAGTTTTTTAAACTTATGGAAGTCGCTACTCACTCTTCTGCTCAAAAGAAGTTGCGTTGTTAACGAGCCAGTAGCCCAGTGTGCTATGCGCCCTTTGCGTGTGATTTAGCCATCTGCACTTGTGAACAGGTGGGACACTCAAGAAAATACCATGTTATTGACGTACCTCCCCTAGCTCGGAGTTAACCAGCAATCTGTCGTCAATGCTCGTTGAATTTTCAGTGACTGAAGTGTTACTGAATTTCTGTACTAAACATGTGGAGGGGGAGTGGGGTCTAGCACGTCCCAGCCTCGTCTCCACTCCCTCAACCCGCTTCACCCCTTATCAACGAATACCAATGAGGTTTCGAGAGAATAGACTTCAATTATACCATGATTACACTCTGAACAGTCGGCTACAAAGAAGATTGTCAGTCTGACGCAAATTTCAAAGCTCTTTCCATGTATTACAGTGTTACTTCACAGTTTAGTTATCAAATCAAATGGTCAGAGGCAATGTAGCGTGATGGAATGTGTGTTATAGCAACCACAAGCTGTGTACAGAAAAACAAATGAGCTGCGTGTCAACTGGTCATACAGACACATTTGCAATTCACACTTGCAAGAGAAGTTCGGTCGGATCTAATAAAAGAGTTAATAATCGGTTTACTTGGAATACTTCTCCTGAAAAATGTCCGAGGAAAGCGAGTTGTCTGAGTTAAAAAGAGACCAAACAACTCAAGATTTTGTGACGGGCTTAAAGGAAAGAGAGGATCTGAAGATTAAACTCCGAGAAAAAGAGAGAGAATGTAACACACTTAAAGGACAGATATATGACATGACCAAGAAAGTAGAGGATTTGGAAAAGCAAGTAAGTATCTGTTCTTGCTAGCTACTGTATCCAGTCTCTTCATTTTAATGCAATGAAGTTTCAAAATTAAGTCACGTCCTAAATATAAAGTAAGCTTAAATGTAAGCTTATAACCTTATTGTAAGCTTACAGTGCTCTACGCAGTGCACATGACTGGCATTTGAGAACATGAGAAATATTTTATTAGAAATCTCAACAGGCCAGCGTCTTTATATTAAATTTTCTCAGAAGTGCTCAAATGCGCAGGATGATCCAGGATGCCTCGACATGACAGTGGGCCTTATAAATACATTAGTAACTTTATTATTATTGATTATTATTATTATTATTATTATTATTATTATTATTTTTATTATATATTATTATTAATTTATTATATTTTATTATATTTATTTGTTCTGATTGATTCCCTTACTAGTCCAAATTTTGCTATATGGACTGCTAAGATTAAATATTGTCAGCTCATAAATTACTTTTGGCAAATTGCTTAATTTTCAATTCATTGCATAGCCTCTTCCAGGCATTCAGTTAGTTGGGGCGGAACGCAAAATAAGACATGCGAAAAAATAAAAAAAGCACAGCAAGAGGAAGAGTTGAGAGACATCAAAAGCTCAAACAAACAGAAAAGACGCACTAACGTGACATCGAAGATTGAAGGATCAAATTTCCCGGGAATTCGGTGAGGCTCTGATTGACAACTGTAAACCACAAGCTTGCGGTCATGTTACATGCCGCTGTAGGCGGGCTATAAGGGGGGCAGAATGACCTTTTATTAAGTTTGCACATAGAAGTTCTTGCGCTTCCTCTCGCTGCACCTTTTTTATTTTTTCGCGTGCTGTATTTCTCATTTTGCCCCAACTAACTGCACAAAATAAACAATTTTGTGTACGGTAGGAATATTTTTACCTTCATGTTTAAAAGACAACTTCTGTCAACCCACTGGCGCCTGTGCTGGCCATAACTGGTCGTGACAAGCGTTGGCCTCTGTTCCCCTTAATTATGACGTCGTCACCTTTGCCCAAAACTGGCATCACTTATACTCAAGTTCTGCAGGAGGAAACGATCTTTCCAGTGATACCCAGATCAGAGTGATTAGGTCAATTGAGGTTGCAACATGCATGGAAATGCTTAGAAATTTGAATGAAAACTCAGAGGAAATTTGTGCCCATGCCCAAGCAAAAATCAGGGCTTGCCACTAACTTTTCAACTTAGTAGCCTAGTGGCTAGTGACAACTTAAATGTTACTAGCCAAAAAATTTTTTTACTAGCCAAGGGTTAATGTTTGCTAGGTCCAATAACAGCAGAAGGCATGCAAAGCGAGCAAAACAAAGAATAGAAATGGCCTCCACTTCCTACCCTGTCAAGTCTCCTGTTTTACGCTGGCTTCCAGTTCTCTCGCAATTCTACCCGCACATTCAACGATCAAATGAAAATACAAGAAAATAGAGGGCTGTGAACAGTCAACCTGTGATGAACACTGATGAGGAATCAGACCTTGTCTCATGGTTGACTGGTAACATTAAACACAGCCAACAAGTTTATCATCTCAATGAATTGTGCCAGTTTTGACGTTGTCCAATGGCCTCGTGTTTTCCTCACATCAAATCTCTCAGGCCGACAGATCACAAAGAAAAATCCAGTGATTTTCCCGAAAAGACTTTCAGGACTCTTTTCCTTTAAGACTTCCTTGGAAAAATATCAAGATCCAGAGATGTTATTGTAAAAACTGTTGAGATGTCTTCACAGACACACGCTGTAGAAATGTTTCAAAAGCAAAATACACTACTGCTAATTGTCATTGGCAAAATTTGATTGCTAAAAATGACTGATTTAAATGTCAAAGGAAATGAATCTTTCTTATCTAATTATTTCTGTAGTGGTAAGTTCTGTCAGTATGCATACAACAAAAAATCACCCATGTGTTGTTACATTTAATGGAATGTTATCCCTTTACAGTTTGCCACGATTTTACACATGATTTTATCAGGAAACTCATGTTTTGTTCTACTAATTTTGTAACAAAAAAGAACATTAATGTGTGCATTCAGAAAATTCTGTCTTGTTTGTGAAACATTTCTTTCAACATAATAACATGTTCAGTTACGCATTTACAGATCTTTACAGGCTCTTACAGTGAACACAGCGAAAAGTAACCAAAGTTAAATTTGTATACGAGCTGAACAGCATGTGCCCGGTAACCTGATACATTCTGACGTTTGTGAGAAAAGTGTTTGTGTTTGTCTTCCTTCTAGTAGTCTGTAGCTAGTTGGCTATCGTTAGTGTTGAGCCCTGAAAAAATTAATGTCATAAAACATGATGTTAGTGAAAAAAAAAAAGGCATGCTTTCACATGATTGCAAATTCCTTTTTGAGTAGACTGGAGATAATTTAGCTGATATCCATGCTAAAAATATCCAAAATGGCTGATAATGGGAACAATTAATCAAATATTCAAGATGAAAACTGTTGGATGTTAACTTTAGAAGTGAATATTGCTTACATGCAATTAAATACATTTATTCTTCTTTCCTCTTTTTTAGCTGGCCGAAAAGAATAAGGTATGTTATCATTTTTCTTTTTATTGTAGATCTGTTGAAGATGTGAATTTTCAGTAAATTCTGTGTACATACTTGTACCCCTTTAGGGGAGTCTGGGGGCATCCTTCCCCAGAAAATTTTCAAAATTGAGGTCCTCAGAAATGGGATTTCTGGTATTATGAGGCCAAGTCAGCATGTTAGAATCAGGGCTGTGCACTAGAAGCACCCGGATGCCACAGGCGACTAACTTTTGCCTTTGGGCGACTGGAAAAACTTGCTTTTTTCATATAAGCTTAAGAGCAGGGCACCCAGGATTTAATAGTTAGGAGCCTTTGGGCTCCTAATAATTTTCTTAGACCAGAGCCTAGTATAATGTCTCATTTTTTTTAATTTAAGAAGTTTTACCGAACCCCTTACAGATTACATACCTACCTCCCCATAACAGCCACCTCTCTACAATGGCCACTTTCCTCTGTCCCCAAGGTGGCCATGTGGGGAGGTTTGACTTTAATCCTTATTGTCCGTGTGGAATGTGCTGCTAACTAACATCATGACCTAATGTGGGACGAGAAAGAGATGCCCATTGAAATTTCTGGTACTAATGTCTGGGCTACTCTCTAATATAAAATAATGATCAAACCAAAATTAATGTGTATCTTAAAAACTGATAATGCCTTTATATTAAGGTGAAATTGAAAATGACAACAAAGTTTGCTTGTTAATTCTTGCGTGAATCACTTAAGCCTGAATAAGAATTTAAGAGTAGAAGCGAGAGGGAGCAATAGTGGGATGCAAAAATGTATTTTATATCGATTTTAGCGAACATTGTGGCTGTGCCATGTATTCCATACTTTTTGTACAGAAATATTATATTAGCTACTTCTACAGTAAAAGCTCACTAAATGTACTTGCTTGATAATTAACCTGAGGAGGAGAAGTACTTTTTTAAGAATTATGGCATCAATATGCACATTTGTTGGGCCAAAACCGTTTCTAGTCTGAGCAAGAATAGATTTCATCAGACAACTTGACCAGCACCTGGAAATTATTTCAAGCCCTGTCGATACAGTTTTTTCTGGACCATACCAAGCATTTTCAATCAGCTTTTTAACAGTCCCAAGTCTCTTAATCTGATAGATATGAAAATTACACCTGCCAGTAAGTGGAAATGGAATGAAGTTCAGCATAATGTACTTCTTAAGACAAAATCAGTCAAACGTGAATTTTGCATAAACCAGTTGTTGTATGAAAATGCTAATAGCAATACCTTAAACTATGATGGATGGCTGTAGAATTGAGTAAACTGCAACTTAAAACACTTCAAATTATACTTTTTGCATGAAATTAGTAAACGAACCGACAGCTGAACACTGCTTTGATGAATTATTTGGCAGGCCAAATGTAGCAATATTCAATTTATACAATTTATATTCAATTTCATATTCTATGTTCAACTTTTTGTTCAACATTCAATTATTTATTCAATGTTCAACTTTTTATTCAACATTCAATTATATTTTCAAAGTGCAACTTTTTATTCAACATTCAATTGTTCATTCAATGTTCAACTTTTTATTCAACATTCAATTATTTATTCAAAGTTCAACTTTTTATCATTTATTCAACTTTCTTGAGCCCTCATTTTTCTGGTCAGTGAAAAAGACACGAAAGTTGCACATGCATAACTGACAAATTGTGACAGGTAACATGACGAACCGCTGGTTCCCGCATTTTCAGAGGGTGGAAGGAGAAGAAAAGATCACAAAATGGAGGAAAATTTGAGAAGATTGTCGCACTGCTTAAACCAGGCAAGCAAAGTAGTACAACAACTGGCTAGTGCTACTAGCAATTCTACCAGCAATTCTGCTAGCAACTCCGTTCAGACCATGGTAAGCACAAGCGGAGGGATGACATCAGTTAGTCAAGCTGTCAGTAGAGCGTGGGCAATGATGTACCAGTAGACCTCCAGAGGTTTGTACTCATGTTTAGGTGCTCGAGAACACCTTCGAGCCTCCTTGTCGACTAGCTCTACACCTAGTAATTCAAAGAGGCCAAAGGTTGACAAAGATAAAGTGTTTGAATTTGTTTTGATGCGTTTCAATGATGAGAACAACAAGGATCTTAAACCTGAAAATTGGATGTTAACCGATGAAAACATTGTCTTGAGAGGTCTCGTAACTCTTAATTCACAAGCTAACGAGCTGGCCGTGAGAAAAGCCCTTTGTGATACAATTCAGTTAAAATATCCTGCTGTGGGATGCCAGGACATTGTGTTCGTAAAGGCCAATAAGAGAAAACTTACTGAACCAGTAAATTGTGATGAGTACTCTTTTAAACAAGTTAAATCTCCTGCGGGACAAGGGGCCATCTACATAAAATTGAAAGATGGGTACAGTTTTCTACTTGATAATGGTAGCTGCGATGGTGACGATGTTGGTGAAAGCAGCCAAGTAGTGACCAAAAACATTCCAGACAACAATGCTGAGAGAAGACCTGTACCCCCATCCCCAGAGACAACTGTAGTCAACCAGGCAAGTGGCAATAATCATCTGAATACTGCAGTGAGTACTGATAATCTAGGAACAGCTACAGCAGAATGTATAAGATTTTGCAAAGAAAGAGATGTGAGCAATCCCATTGAGATACTCAAGTGTGCTCAGAAGTTCATCTTGCAGGGTTGTCCCTTGGATGTGACCTCTCTTTCACAGCCACTTGAGGGTGAAACTAATTTTGTGTGTATAGACCAATACCAGGTTTTAAAATTGGTTGAAGAAGAACTTAACGACATTGAAAATCCAAGGCTCACTCTTGAAGTCTCCTTCCATGGAGAAGCTACCAATGATGCAGGGGGTCCCAGGAAAGAATTTTTTCATCTTTGCCTGAAAGAAATAAAGGACAAGTATTTTGGCAATGGACCAAATGACCTCATTGCAGAAGAATCTGAGTTTGTGGGAACCTTTTGGCCTTGACCATTCTTCAAAATGGGCCAGTACCCTGGTTTGTTCTTGAAGAAATTCTCCAACAGATTTTTTCAGATGCTCCTCCAGGGTCTTGCATTGCAGAGCTTCAAATGGGATTCATGAAACTTGGTCTTTATGAAGTTGCCAAAAGTCTTCCATTGTTTCTTCACCTTGTGTGCCCAAATGATGCAAATCAACTCTCCAGAAAACAGCTGGTTTTTCTTCTCAAACCATCATTCTCTGAGGAAGGAACAAATGCATGCAAGTATGAAAATGATGTTTATGCTTTATTCACAAAGTATGTGCAAGAAAGTGCATGCGGTAGATGCGGTTCAGTCACCCTTGGGAGCATTCTACAGTTTGCAACTGGGCTGGATGAAGAACCACCCTTGGGTTTGAATTACAACCTTGCATTCAGTTTGTTGCTGCCCCTCAAAATAATAAGTGGTCCTTTATTCCAACAGCTAATACATGTAGTGCAACACTGTTTCTACCTAAGTGGTCTTATGACCTTCCTTTGCCAACTGAAGAGGAGCTGTTTGAAGTTTACTTTGCTTTTTCTGAAAGTGAAGAATGATCATCGCAGTTAATTTTCCAATTTAAGCAATTGGAAAGAAGAAGCCTGANTTGAGCTGCACCGCTCTTCGCTAATCAAGAAATATCAAGCAATTTTTTCGAGTAAATTATTAATAACAGTTTTTTAAACTTATGGAAGTCGCTACTCACTCTTCTGCTCAAAAGAAGTTGCGTTGTTAACGAGCCAGTAGCCCAGTGTGCTATGCGCCCTTTGCGTGTGATTTAGCCATCTGCACTTGTGAACAGGTGGGACACTCAAGAAAATACCATGTTATTGACGTACCTCCCCTAGCTCGGAGTTAACCAGCAATCTGTCGTCAATGCTCGTTGAATTTTCAGTGACTGAAGTGTTACTGAATTTCTGTACTAAACATGTGGAGGGGGAGTGGGGTCTAGCACGTCCCAGCCTCGTCTCCACTCCCTCAACCCGCTTCACCCCTTATCAACGAATACCAATGAGGTTTCGAGAGAATAGACTTCAATTATACCATGATTACACTCTGAACAGTCGGCTACAAAGAAGATTGTCAGTCTGACGCAAATTTCAAAGCTCTTTCCATGTATTACAGTGTTACTTCACAGTTTAGTTATCAAATCAAATGGTCAGAGGCAATGTAGCGTGATGGAATGTGTGTTATAGCAACCACAAGCTGTGTACAGAAAAACAAATGAGCTGCGTGTCAACTGGTCATACAGACACATTTGCAATTCACACTTGCAAGAGAAGTTCGGTCGGATCTAATAAAAGAGTTAATAATCGGTTTACTTGGAATACTTCTCCTGAAAAATGTCCGAGGAAAGCGAGTTGTCTGAGTTAAAAAGAGACCAAACAACTCAAGATTTTGTGACGGGCTTAAAGGAAAGAGAGGATCTGAAGATTAAACTCCGAGAAAAAGAGAGAGAATGTAACACACTTAAAGGACAGATATATGACATGACCAAGAAAGTAGAGGATTTGGAAAAGCAAGTAAGTATCTGTTCTTGCTAGCTACTGTATCCAGTCTCTTCATTTTAATGCAATGAAGTTTCAAAATTAAGTCACGTCCTAAATATAAAGTAAGCTTAAATGTAAGCTTATAACCTTATTGTAAGCTTACAGTGCTCTACGCAGTGCACATGACTGGCATTTGAGAACATGAGAAATATTTTATTAGAAATCTCAACAGGCCAGCGTCTTTATATTAAATTTTCTCAGAAGTGCTCAAATGCGCAGGATGATCCAGGATGCCTCGACATGACAGTGGGCCTTATAAATACATTAGTAACTTTATTATTATTGATTATTATTATTATTATTATTATTATTATTATTATTTTTATTATATATTATTATTAATTTATTATATTTTATTATATTTATTTGTTCTGATTGATTCCCTTACTAGTCCAAATTTTGCTATATGGACTGCTAAGATTAAATATTGTCAGCTCATAAATTACTTTTGGCAAATTGCTTAATTTTCAATTCATTGCATAGCCTCTTCCAGGCATTCAGTTAGTTGGGGCGGAACGCAAAATAAGACATGCGAAAAAATAAAAAAAGCACAGCAAGAGGAAGAGTTGAGAGACATCAAAAGCTCAAACAAACAGAAAAGACGCACTAACGTGACATCGAAGATTGAAGGATCAAATTTCCCGGGAATTCGGTGAGGCTCTGATTGACAACTGTAAACCACAAGCTTGCGGTCATGTTACATGCCGCTGTAGGCGGGCTATAAGGGGGGCAGAATGACCTTTTATTAAGTTTGCACATAGAAGTTCTTGCGCTTCCTCTCGCTGCACCTTTTTTATTTTTTCGCGTGCTGTATTTCTCATTTTGCCCCAACTAACTGCACAAAATAAACAATTTTGTGTACGGTAGGAATATTTTTACCTTCATGTTTAAAAGACAACTTCTGTCAACCCACTGGCGCCTGTGCTGGCCATAACTGGTCGTGACAAGCGTTGGCCTCTGTTCCCCTTAATTATGACGTCGTCACCTTTGCCCAAAACTGGCATCACTTATACTCAAGTTCTGCAGGAGGAAACGATCTTTCCAGTGATACCCAGATCAGAGTGATTAGGTCAATTGAGGTTGCAACATGCATGGAAATGCTTAGAAATTTGAATGAAAACTCAGAGGAAATTTGTGCCCATGCCCAAGCAAAAATCAGGGCTTGCCACTAACTTTTCAACTTAGTAGCCTAGTGGCTAGTGACAACTTAAATGTTACTAGCCAAAAAATTTTTTTACTAGCCAAGGGTTAATGTTTGCTAGGTCCAATAACAGCAGAAGGCATGCAAAGCGAGCAAAACAAAGAATAGAAATGGCCTCCACTTCCTACCCTGTCAAGTCTCCTGTTTTACGCTGGCTTCCAGTTCTCTCGCAATTCTACCCGCACATTCAACGATCAAATGAAAATACAAGAAAATAGAGGGCTGTGAACAGTCAACCTGTGATGAACACTGATGAGGAATCAGACCTTGTCTCATGGTTGACTGGTAACATTAAACACAGCCAACAAGTTTATCATCTCAATGAATTGTGCCAGTTTTGACGTTGTCCAATGGCCTCGTGTTTTCCTCACATCAAATCTCTCAGGCCGACAGATCACAAAGAAAAATCCAGTGATTTTCCCGAAAAGACTTTCAGGACTCTTTTCCTTTAAGACTTCCTTGGAAAAATATCAAGATCCAGAGATGTTATTGTAAAAACTGTTGAGATGTCTTCACAGACACACGCTGTAGAAATGTTTCAAAAGCAAAATACACTACTGCTAATTGTCATTGGCAAAATTTGATTGCTAAAAATGACTGATTTAAATGTCAAAGGAAATGAATCTTTCTTATCTAATTATTTCTGTAGTGGTAAGTTCTGTCAGTATGCATACAACAAAAAATCACCCATGTGTTGTTACATTTAATGGAATGTTATCCCTTTACAGTTTGCCACGATTTTACGCATGATTTTATCAGGAAGCTCATGTTTTGTTCTACTAATTTTGTAACAAAAAAGAACATTAATTTGTGCATTCAGAAAATTCTGTCTTGTTTGTGAAATATTTCTTTCAACATAATAACATGTTCAGTTACGCATTTACAGATCTTTACAGGCTCTTACAGCAAACACAGCGAAAAGTAACCAAAGTTAAATTTACATACGAGCTGAACAGCATGTGCCCGGTAACCTGATACATTCTGACGTTGTTTGTGAGAAAAGTGTTTGTGTTTGTCTTCCTTCTAGTAGTCTGTAGCTAGTTGGCTATCATTAGTGTTGAGCCCTGAAAAAATTAATGTCATAAAACATGATGTTAGTGAAAAAAAAAAAGGCATGCTTTCACATGATTGCAAATTCCTTTTTGAGTAGACTGGAGATAATTTAGCTGATATCCATGCTAAAAATATCCAAAATGGCTGATAATGGGAACAATTAATCAAATATTCAAGATGAAAACTGTTGGATGTTAACTTTAGAAGTGAATATTGCTTACATGCAATTAAATACATTTATTCTTCTTTCCTCTTTTTTAGCTGGCCGAAAAGAATAAGGTATGTTATCATTTTTCTTTTTATTGTAGATCTGTTGAAGATGTGAATTTTCAGTAAATTCTGTGTACATACTTGTACCCCTTTAGGGGAGTCTGGGGGCATCCTTCCCCAGAAAATTTTCAAAATTGAGGTCCTCAGAAATGGGATTTCTGGTATTATGAGGCCAAGTCAGCATGTTAGAATCAGGGCTGTGCACTAGAAGCACCCGGATGCCACAGGCGACTAACTTTTGCCTTTGGGCGACTGGAAAAACTTGCTTTTTTCATATAAGCTTAAGAGCAGGGCACCCAGGATTTAATAGTTAGGAGCCTTTGGGCTCCTAATAATTTTCTTAGACCAGAGCCTAGTATAATGTCTCATTTTTTTTAATTTAAGAAGTTTTACCGAACCCCTTACAGATTACATACCTACCTCCCCATAACAGCCACCTCTCTACAATGGCCACTTTCCTCTGTCCCCAAGGTGGCCATGTGGGGAGGTTTGACTTTAATCCTTATTGTCCGTGTGGAATGTGCTGCTAACTAACATCATGACCTAATGTGGGACGAGAAAGAGATGCCCATTGAAATTTCTGGTACTAATGTCTGGGCTACTCTCTAATATAAAATAATGATCAAACCAAAATTAATGTGTATCTTAAAAACTGATAATGCCTTTATATTAAGGTGAAATTGAAAATGACAACAAAGTTTGCTTGTTAATTCTTGCGTGAATCACTTAAGCCTGAATAAGAATTTAAGAGTAGAAGCGAGAGGGAGCAATAGTGGGATGCAAAAATGTATTTTATATCGATTTTAGCGAACATTGTGGCTGTGCCATGTATTCCATACTTTTTGTACAGAAATATTATATTAGCTACTTCTACAGTAAAAGCTCACTAAATGTACTTGCTTGATAATTAACCTGAGGAGGAGAAGTACTTTTTTAAGAATTATGGCATCAATATGCACATTTGTTGGGCCAAAACCGTTTCTAGTCTGAGCAAGAATAGATTTCATCAGACAACTTGACCAGCACCTGGAAATTATTTCAAGCCCTGTCGATACAGTTTTTTCTGGACCATACCAAGCATTTTCAATCAGCTTTTTAACAGTCCCAAGTCTCTTAATCTGATAGATATGAAAATTACACCTGCCAGTAAGTGGAAATGGAATGAAGTTCAGCATAATGTACTTCTTAAGACAAAATCAGTCAAACGTGAATTTTGCATAAACCAGTTGTTGTATGAAAATGCTAATAGCAATACCTTAAACTATGATGGATGGCTGTAGAATTGAGTAAACTGCAACTTAAAACACTTCAAATTATACTTTTTGCATGAAATTAGTAAACGAACCGACAGCTGAACACTGCTTTGATGAATTATTTGGCAGGCCAAATGTAGCAATATTCAATTTATACAATTTATATTCAATTTCATATTCTATGTTCAACTTTTTGTTCAACATTCAATTATTTATTCAATGTTCAACTTTTTATTCAACATTCAATTATATTTTCAAAGTGCAACTTTTTATTCAACATTCAATTGTTCATTCAATGTTCAACTTTTTATTCAACATTCAATTATTTATTCAAAGTTCAACTTTTTATCATTTATTCAACTTTCTTGAGCCCTCATTTTTCTGGTCAGTGAAAAAGACACGAAAGTTGCACATGCATAACTGACAAATTGTGACAGGTAACATGACGAACCGCTGGTTCCCGCATTTTCAGAGGGTGGAAGGAGAAGAAAAGATCACAAAATGGAGGAAAATTTGAGAAGATTGTCGCACTGCTTAAACCAGGCAAGCAAAGTAGTACAACAACTGGCTAGTGCTACTAGCAATTCTACCAGCAATTCTGCTAGCAACTCCGTTCAGACCATGGTAAGCACAAGCGGAGGGATGACATCAGTTAGTCAAGCTGTCAGTAGAGCGTGGGCAATGATGTACCAGTAGACCTCCAGAGGTTTGTACTCATGTTTAGGTGCTCGAGAACACCTTCGAGCCTCCTTGTCGACTAGCTCTACACCTAGTAATTCAAAGAGGCCAAAGGTTGACAAAGATAAAGTGTTTGAATTTGTTTTGATGCGTTTCAATGATGAGAACAACAAGGATCTTAAACCTGAAAATTGGATGTTAACCGATGAAAACATTGTCTTGAGAGGTCTCGTAACTCTTAATTCACAAGCTAACGAGCTGGCCGTGAGAAAAGCCCTTTGTGATACAATTCAGTTAAAATATCCTGCTGTGGGATGCCAGGACATTGTGTTCGTAAAGGCCAATAAGAGAAAACTTACTGAACCAGTAAATTGTGATGAGTACTCTTTTAAACAAGTTAAATCTCCTGCGGGACAAGGGGCCATCTACATAAAATTGAAAGATGGGTACAGTTTTCTACTTGATAATGGTAGCTGCGATGGTGACGATGTTGGTGAAAGCAGCCAAGTAGTGACCAAAAACATTCCAGACAACAATGCTGAGAGAAGACCTGTACCCCCATCCCCAGAGACAACTGTAGTCAACCAGGCAAGTGGCAATAATCATCTGAATACTGCAGTGAGTACTGATAATCTAGGAACAGCTACAGCAGAATGTATAAGATTTTGCAAAGAAAGAGATGTGAGCAATCCCATTGAGATACTCAAGTGTGCTCAGAAGTTCATCTTGCAGGGTTGTCCCTTGGATGTGACCTCTCTTTCACAGCCACTTGAGGGTGAAACTAATTTTGTGTGTATAGACCAATACCAGGTTTTAAAATTGGTTGAAGAAGAACTTAACGACATTGAAAATCCAAGGCTCACTCTTGAAGTCTCCTTCCATGGAGAAGCTACCAATGATGCAGGGGGTCCCAGGAAAGAATTTTTTCATCTTTGCCTGAAAGAAATAAAGGACAAGTATTTTGGCAATGGACCAAATGACCTCATTGCAGAAGAATCTGAGTTTGTGGGAACCTTTTGGCCTTGACCATTCTTCAAAATGGGCCAGTACCCTGGTTTGTTCTTGAAGAAATTCTCCAACAGATTTTTTCAGATGCTCCTCCAGGGTCTTGCATTGCAGAGCTTCAAATGGGATTCATGAAACTTGGTCTTTATGAAGTTGCCAAAAGTCTTCCATTGTTTCTTCACCTTGTGTGCCCAAATGATGCAAATCAACTCTCCAGAAAACAGCTGGTTTTTCTTCTCAAACCATCATTCTCTGAGGAAGGAACAAATGCATGCAAGTATGAAAATGATGTTTATGCTTTATTCACAAAGTATGTGCAAGAAAGTGCATGCGGTAGATGCGGTTCAGTCACCCTTGGGAGCATTCTACAGTTTGCAACTGGGCTGGATGAAGAACCACCCTTGGGTTTGAATTACAACCTTGCATTCAGTTTGTTGCTGCCCCTCAAAATAATAAGTGGTCCTTTATTCCAACAGCTAATACATGTAGTGCAACACTGTTTCTACCTAAGTGGTCTTATGACCTTCCTTTGCCAACTGAAGAGGAGCTGTTTGAAGTTTACTTTGCTTTTTCTGAAAGTGAAGAATGATCATCGCAGTTAATTTTCCAATTTAAGCAATTGGAAAGAAGAAGCCTGAAAAAAATCAGGACTTCAACCGTTGAAGTCCTGATTTTTTTCAGGCTTCTTCTTTCCAATTGCTTAAATTGGAAAATTAACTGCGATGATCATTCTTCACTT